CCAACTGATCGCGGTTCGCTCAACCGAAGGGCAAGACGACCGCAGTTCGATTGCCAATGCGCGGCAAGACCCACGGCCTGTGGAAAAGATCGCACATTTCTCTGGTTTTCAGGGAGTTCTCGCGGAGCGGCGAGCGGAGCGGCGAGCGGCCAGAGCTGACGGATTCCAACCTCTCCGATATATGGATTGATCTACCATGTAGGAGATCTACCATGTAAAACCTTGCTTGGGAAGAAAAACCGTGGTGGTAGATCTCCATATATCAGAGAGTTGTTGGGGATGGTTGGGTAAAAGGGATATGTTGGGAAGAAAAAAAACCATGTGGTAAAACCCATGAGAACGACGACCCGGGTCCAACGACCGTTGGACACCACCGGTACCGTTCGAAGTCTCGGTGTCTAGCACCGGGACCGTGTTCCACGGTTCCACCTTTCGAAAAACACAACGAGTTCCATTGCTTGGTGGACCTGTTTCTTTTTTTCCTGGTTTGTGGCGTTCTTTTTTTTCGAAAAGAACGAGAACAACACATTTGTTTGGTTCGATGTTCTTGGATTTTTTGTTGGTGGCGGGTGTTTTTCTCCGCAGAATCGGAAAAAAGTGACAGTGATTTCAGCTGCACATGGGTCACCTTGCAGCGGTGTGTCTTCTGTTGGACTATCTGAGAAATGGGACAGACCTAGTTTTGTGGAGACCCCCAACCTGCCATGCACAGGAGGACTTTACCGGCCATGAAGGACTTCAAGCAGATGGTCAGCTTGGTGGTCTCAGAGGCATAGGGTTTATACGACACGATCTTTGACCCATGAGAACAGTATAGCAATAGGCAAAAATGTGTGTAGCACTGTGTAGCACTCATGTCATGCAACATCCCCGAAAGCTGCGTGTTTACATGCAGCCACGTCACAAATGATGGCCAACACGGTGCGTTTGGTACGTTAAAGCAAAGCAACATAATAGGTCTCAAGTCTCAAGTATACCACTGCCCAGTCCCCACATGCAGATTTCGTGACATTTTGTGATCTGAAACACTTTCTACACACACCGCGCAAGACGCAAAGTAGGCATCATCTCCAACAAACTTCTTTTGCAGATGATACCTGGTAGTGGCCCGAAGGGCTAGATCGGCTAACATTGAATTTGTAGTGAATCGGACTACTTGCACTTAAAACTCACTGACAATCCTTGAATTATATATATATATGTTACTATAGTCTAAACAACAAAGACAGCATTTGTTGAATTTGGCAAAGAATACCCTCTTCGACGCAAGTGACATACCTTGAAATCTAAGTGAGGTCAAGCATTGCTGTTTGAAACTGGACCATGTTTTGCTGAAAACATAGAAAATGTAAGATAACTTATATATATATATGTGGTGGCTTCTTGCCTATGCAGATTACTGGATTCAATCATTGAGCCCACTCTATATACTGAGCACGCCAACACCTGACAACGAAGCTTTAGGACCAAAACACACTCCTGCAGAACTACATTGTTACATGCTTGCTCCAACAGCCACTCAAGGCAACTCGGCAACACTGTTCAGAAACCAGCAACTGTGGAAAACGGTTGGTTCCTTCCTTGTTTTGAGTATTTTTGGACTTGCCCACCTCAAAGGTTTTTCTTTGCGGTCATTCTCCCGCTCAGCTTGCTTCAGATCTGCAGCGGGCTGTGTGTTGAACGGATGCGTTGAACTCGCCGAACTCGGCGGTGGGAGGATGAGACCCGAAGCATCACTGACATCCTGAACGCCATTCGTTCCAGATGCACTTCGGCCGCATGCGCATGCGGAACGACGCCCGCGCTGCTCGGAGATGAGTCGAAGGTCCGGAATTAGAGCTAATAGCTTTTGGCTAAGAATACCCCTACAGGTACAATGACCTCATTTTACTCGAGTGTGTCATAGAAAAACATAGAAAAACACTACTTAAGGAGGTAACAGACCAGGTTTTACAGATCTATATAGATCTTTGGACTTGTTGGGCAGTAGTATAGCTTTTGAATATCGCTCTGCTCTGCTAACTGATGTGGTTTCGCCACCCACTCCGTCCGCATGGCGCTCGCTCGCTAGGCCCTGACTGGACGGTGACCCCGTGCCGTGTGCGGAAGGTCCAGGGACGGGTGAGGAGAAGCGCTCAGGGCGTGGGGAGACACCGGCGCGTGACGCGGCAGAAGCGGAGAAGCCCTTGAAGCGAATGCACCCGTATTACGACGCACAAAAGGACCAAACATGACGAAACACGTGGGATGTGTCATCCGCTTCTGGATTGGCCAGATGTTTCATCCGCGGGTCCCTTCCGCAAGACAAATGTCCTTCGGAAGGCTTTGGAGTCCTTGCAGAAGGTGAAGCCTCCAAAAGGACGGGGGTGTGGTCACGGGCGTGGCGATTTTCCCTGAAGAAAGCCTGGCGAGTTCCTCACAAACGAGGAGTTCACTACAGTTGGAACAAGAGAGGTACAGAGAGGTGACCAATTGCGACTTGCAAGAGGACCAGAGCTGACCAAAAATCATGGAGGTCTACCATCCCTAGGGATCCAGTCGTACCTTCTCAGGTACGGTGATGTGTTCGACACTGTTATGTAGCTTTGGAGGGTCCAGTCGTACCTCCTGAGAAGGTACGACTGGATGATCCCTAGGGCATGTTTGGCACAGAGAACATCCTTATTACTGAGCATCCCGGTTCGAACCCGAGCCGCGCCGTCCTGGGCTCTCGTGCGCGGAGGGATGCTACCATGTGGCGGACCGCATGAAGTCAACAAACACACTGAAAAACATATGTGCCTGTTCAACAGGCTCTTGTGTTTCCCTCCTTGCTTTCCCCTTTTGCGATTACCTAAGGCTTCAAGCGCATGGCCACCATGCATGAAAGCGCTTCGTCGCCTGCAGTTCCAGTCCCAAGGTTGTAGTCATGTCCCGCCTCAGCCGTCGAAGTCCACCATAAGGTTGTGAACAAACTGGCAGACTTCACTTGGGACATTGTCAAATTTAGGTGTTGGAGGGACCTTTGAATCACATGGCCGATTGTCCTTATCAGAGTCCTTCCATGTCCTTCCCAAAATACAAAGTCCTCTAATGACAGATTCCTCAAAAACCTTATGATGGTACGCTTTTTTGTGACTACACTACACCTATGAGATAGGCATGATAGGCCATGGATAGGCTTAAGCTGACCCCTGATCACGACTTGCCTACCTGATGGCCCCTGATGATCCTAAACATGAACCAGATTTGTTTGTGCGGTTGGAACCAAGCACGCAAACACTTAGACTCAGCTTGCGGACAAGTTGGATGGGAAAACTTCTTTCTAATGTGGATAGTTGAGTCACGGATATTTGCGTTACTTTTCTCTTTCTCACAAGTGTCTCGTACTTTCAGATGGGTCGGCATGGAGACGAATCATTCCCAACACAGATATACAGAGGGTAGTACTGAGGGTAGTACTAATGCAACGGTTTCCAGCTCTATGCTTGCTCCATGAGTTACTAGCAAAATCTGTGGTTTGTTTCACCATAAAGTGTAGACTCTTGATTAATAAGCCCATTGAACATCCTCCTCATATGGGGGCTTTAGTGGGGGCTTTCTTAATCAAGAGTCTAAATGAGTCCTTTCTTGGCGGGTCAATGTTGATTGTCTCGGTCAACGGTGCTTTGTCGAAGGAGACGGTGTTTCTTGCCGCTTCTTTCCTCAGCAGCGCTGCTCAGTGTCGTGTGTCGTTCGTGGCAGCGCGGAAAGCCAAGTGTCTAAGGAAGAAACAGAAAGAGGGTACTTTCCCATTGACATTTCATCTATAGAGGGTATTTGATCTATATATTTCTTCAATAGGGGATGTGGTAATGTCAAGTTAGGATTAATCAATCCCCCCTAGTTAACCCGAGCCCACAAAGCCGCCGAAAATTGCCCAAATTAAACGTATTATTCGCTGTTGATTTCCCCCCCTATGGTCTACTTTTCTACCAACAATCCCCCCCAGTTAATCCGAGCCTACACAATCCCCAAAAAAGCAATATAACTTTTAATAAGGGGTTAACTAGTAATATTACTTTTAATAAGGGGTCTCATAGCACATTATTCAGGGGGGGTGGACCTCATGAGTGGTATCTCAGACCTTGTTGACCTTGTTGACCTACCATGTGGGGGGGGGGTTATTAATCCGGGGTTGACATTATTCAGATTTCACTTATTTCATCATATTTCATCATTTCAGGGGATGTATTTGCACCTGATTTGGGTAGTATGGACGGCATAGAAAAAACCCATGGTAGTTCTGGACACCACATAGGAGAAGTCTTCAGCAAATGCAATTGGTATTTTAGATAGTGCTTTTTCGTGACACGAAAGCTAGAGTGTCCACAAAAACTAGTTCTCATTGTTCGATCGATTGACATGTGTGAAGGTAAACAAGGCATCAAACAGTGCATGACGATCCTTTGACATCTTTCTGTGAGGCCCCCTCTTTCATGCGGCTGGGTGTGTAGGTCGAGGGGGCTTTGGATGGAGGGCTTTGGATGATGACTCCTGAGAACGATTTGCTGGGGACCGTTGGACGGGGCCAAACTCTTGAGCTACCACTTGTGAAGCATGTGACATTTTATGCTTTTGTGTCCTGAGCACCTGAAATCATGTCTGTGATGCTTGCTGTTGCCGAACGATGTTGCCACAGCGTAGGCAGCCGTAGTTTGACATGAGAACCACGGTCACCACCAATCATCGCGCGAAATGGCCATCCAGGATGTATCGTCAATGAGACCACAGATTGAACATGACCCATTTCCTATCAGGCAATTGAAGCGATTGTGCATCTTGTGGCTTTGCAAGCTGAAGCTTGGAGTGTCAAGCCCCACCCACGCAGACTGCTGGCTTGAAGCCAGGTGTTCGTGTCAAAGCTGGAAGTCCTTCTAACCTGTCTCAAGATCCAATCCAGTAAATCCATCCTAACTCCCCTTCCTAAGTCCACATGTTCTCTATAGACTCTAGGGCCTATCAATGGGGAAGCAGATGGTCGAGAGTTTAGTTTTGTTTCTTGCAACACATGGGTTTTCGCTGGCCATGGACGATCCTACTCCTGGGCCAGCAGGCTGGCTGGCCACTTCTGCACCGATCGCGCTGGAACCCTGGGTTGTTCAACAACTTATTGCACCTGGCGCCGAGCATGGCAAACCAGAACATCCATGTATTGAATAACTCTGCTACTGTACATACACAGTATATACATTTTAACCATTGATGACCCTAATCCAATAATATAAGTCTTCCAAAAGATGGATGGTCATGGGTCTTTCGATCCCAGAGTACACACATGTGGCCGCGAAATTCCGATATCGTTCAAACATGTCCCAGTGTTCATCCCCGTCCTCATCCTCTTCAGTTGTTTTTCACCTGTTCCTCTTCTCATCCTTCTTGAAAGGACGGACCGAGCCGCTATCGGCGGCCGGATCGGTGTTCAGGATCCTTCAAGCCATGGAAGGTAAGCAGGATCCTTCTGACCAAAGCCCTTGCTACTCCAAATAAGAAAGCTATTGCATGCTATTGCAGGCTGATGCCGGCTTGTTTTTGTTGGCTTCCGAGCCTGCAGAAGAACACTGGAGTTCTGCAGAACGACATTGACCATGCAGCCTTGGCTTCCCAGGGAGAGGTGTTTGCCCAGTCTGGTCGCAGGGCAAAGAACATCGGATGTGTAAACACACAGCAACCCCGCCCTGTGGTTGTGTGGTTGCGCGTATCGGGACACCAGGAGCTTTGTTCCAGAAGGCAAGCCACATACCATCCAAAGGGTGTCCAATGGAGATAATGTGGAGATCCCTAAGTATAGATATATAGTGTAGGGTACCTCTATTGAGCACCCCTTGGATGGTCCCACCCTTCCATGAACAGCCTCCCATTGCCACCCCCTTCCTTTCGATCCGATCTTGTAGACCCTAGGTTCCCGTGCGCAGGTGGCCGCGCATCGCTGTGGCAAGTCCGAGAAAACGGATGCTGGAGGGCATTCCTGAAGCTCGGACGAAGGAGGGCATTCCCTCTCGAGGACAGAGTTGAGCTCGGATGAGGGGAATGCACGGCCTGATCTCCACCTCCTCATTTCATCCTAGATTGGAGGCCATCGCTAGTAGGTTAGAGGCCATCGTCCTGCGAGTCCGTGGACCTCATTTCTTGTCCTTGTCTTCCTTGTCCTTGTCTTGTTTATTCCTTCTGTTTCGTTCCTTTCTCCGCCCTCATTCGTTCGTTCCTTGGTTCCGCAAAGGGGATGTTGTTGGAACGTTTGAGCACATCTTTCTTTCGATCTGAAGATGCCATTCGGTGAAAACGGAACCGATGTTGTATTGTCGCTTTCAATCGTCGTGGGTGAGCGAGTTGACTGAAAGGGACCCCATCGTCCCTCTTTTCACCGCTTTCGACAGAAAGCTCCACTGGATGTCCATCGGTGGAAAGCAGGATGGAGACTGACCCGTTCCCCAACACAGGCCCTTTAGGACCGACCAATACGCACGATAGATTGAATTGCTTTCACTACGCTTCACCAGGTGTGGCAACTTCCGTCTAAAACTAAGGCGGTGGCCGAGTGGATTGGTTGGTGCAGCATGAGGCGACGGGGAGTGCTCTTTTCTTGGGTGGGGTGGGCACATCTAGGTCAGTGAAAGGCTCAAATGTCGTTGCCAGTGGCCATGAAGATCATGAAGCATCATGAAACAGCTTCCATAAATGAAGCAACTGTGCTACGCAAGCCCGCTGTGCCCGACGTTATTGTCCCCTTTGAATGCTTGCCACTGCACTCGACCAGTCCCTTCTCGCGCGTGGACCATTTGATGTGGGGGATCCATCCTGCCAGGACCTCTCCAAAGATGAAGCGGGTTTCCGGGTAGCGAAGGAGTTCCCCGTGGAATGCTGGCGCTGTGGCTTAAACATCAGCTCCGCGAGCTCCAAGTCCTGCAGCCTTCAGGAGCTCCTTGACAGCGATGGCTTTTCGGTTTTTCCTGAGGGGGATCTTTTTTCTTGAAGCCAGTCAATGATCTCCATGCTACCAGCCTTGGTGAGGCATTCGACCAAAAAGCCTCGTTCTCTCCCCAGTCGTGGAATGCTGGCTAAGCATCTCCGCATTTCTGCACGGAAAACGTTAAAAAGGGCCTAACAGGACGGTCTTTTCCAACCAAGGGGCCCTGCTATCTGGAAAACCACGAAGGGGACGTACCATTGGCTCCATGTGTGTGTGTTTGCCCAAGAAGGGTGTGGAAAGTGGCATCCTGAGTGGCACCAGATGGAACATAAACCACGTAGGAGCTAGGAGCTTCGTACTGGTTCTTCCTGATGACGACAGAAAAAACGGGTGACCGATTTCGTTTTGCATCACCCGGGTATCACCCAGGTATCACCCGGGTGCATTAGCGGTTTAGGGGCGGACGTGTGAAAGGAGTTTCAGTCCTACGCGAAGACCCCCAGGTCAGAATCCACCAACACCCTCATGCGAAGCCACGGACATCTAGGGCGTCAGCACCACAGGTTCCAAGAAGCGGATCTTAGACCTTCATGTTCTTGGATTAGCATTAGGGTGATCTTTCATATATTCCTGGATGAATCCCCTCAAACAGGAAGATGTTTATCGATTTTTCCCGGCTTCCTGGACAGCTAAATCCCAGTGTTTCACCTGGCAGCGTCGCGGAAGTGTTTGGCAGGCGTGGCGTCGCGGCGCCGCGTCGACCGACCGAGTACCGCACGTCCGGGGCCTCGCCAGGTCGACGTCTGACACCCTTCAACTCCAACAGCTCCAGATGATGAACTGCGGAAAGGTGCAGCGTCTTGGGCTTGGAGCTTTGTGTGCGCGTCGGAACGTGACGTGACGCGTTGGCATTCCATTTTCAGCCCATATGGCATTGAACGAGAGAAAAAAATGCCGTTGTAGCAGGGCTATAGCTGATATTGGATTGCCATGTCTTGGGGGTACGGGATTCCAGTGCCAATAGTCATGATGGCAACCCACTTGAAGGACTATTATATATATATAGTTATATACAGTATACGTATAGATAGATACATAGATAGATAGTCGTGTTTAGCGTTGTGAATGCCGTTCTTGCGGGTTGGGTCGGTGCTTGAGATCTTTGCAGTGAGAACTTATAGTTTGGGCAAAGAAGCAGCAAAAGGAGAGAAAACCATGCAAACACCTTGATCTCCACTGGGAGACTATGGTTGACCATAGCGGTTGGTCACTGGTTCATCGTCCCGTTTCTGTGAAGACAAGGCACTGATTCGAGCATTCATGTCGGTTTCGGATCTTCCCTTCCGAAGCGTATTGCGCACTGACGCAGTTCCAAGGAAGGCCTCGGTGCAGTTCCAGGACGGGCGACCGGGCGGGCTGGGGAGCCGAACCGGGCGTTCGGGGAGCCGAACCAGTCAGCAAAGGTTCTCATGGATGTGTCTTAATTGGCCAAGTTTTACTCAAATGGGCCGAGTTTTCGTACATGAAGGACCAATACACTTTAAGATACAATGAGAAACACATTGTGACAAACTATTATACGGATGACATCCAAAGTGAAGGGAGACCGAGCATGGAGAGACTGTAAAGAACAGATCCAAGTTCTTAGCATAGCAGCATATTGGCTAGACAGGGGAGATTTGCCCCGCAGACTATCCACATCAAGATGATGCACTCCCAAGTCATGAACTATCCTCCACGCGCGGCAGGGCACCAATCCAGAACCAAACCGCAGTTTGGTAGCAGATCGACAGCAGTGGGCTCAACAGAGCCTTAATGGAAGACCCCATGCGGGACTGTAATAGAGCGCCTTAGATTCAACGCGATCATCGCTGCCTTCCTGGCCCTTGCTGCAGACCGTTGAACTCGTCGCGACGCTGATTGCGACAGTTGGGCCAACCGTGTTCCGACGGCGATGGTTGGAAGCGGTACCGACGGCCATGCCGAGGCCCGATGTAGGCAACCAACCCTAAACCGGCAGTGCCGACTTTCAAGGGCCTTGGTGCCCGCAAGGCAAACAGTGGATCTGTTCGAAGTGGATTCACGACCTTTGCCATTCGTTTCGATGAAGTCTGTGTGACGACCGGTCTGACCAGTCAGTAGTCAGTCATGTTGGCGAAACGAGAGTCGAAAACGAAGAGAGTCCGAACCGGCCAACGCAATTGCCCTAAGGAAGGCTCACATCGCACGGTTTTGGGCTGCGGAATGTAGTCGGGTGTTGGCTGTGTGTGTGTGTCGGTTCATGACCTACAACTGTGCAGTGGAAGAGCAGGTTGTGCCAGGCCTGCGTAGACACGCCTCCGTGGCTGAAAACACGGCCTAATGACTGGCCCCAGATTGGCTGGCAAAAGGGCTGTTGCATTCACGAAGCGCCACGAGGTTCGGATACGCCAATTTCGACGCGGAAAACGACCACCCGTGTCACGGAAAAGAGAACAGCGCGTCCAACTGCATGGGACGTCGTTTCTGCTATCAGAAACATAGCAGAACAGGTTCTCCCCAAAGTTGTTAAAGCTCCAAACATGGACAGCCCACAGGGTGATTCCAACTCGCCACCTCAGCCTATGCTCGCATCAGGATGTGCTGGCTGCCAAGTCTGACACCTGGGCCAGTTCAGATCAAGTAAAGGTCTGGCGGCAGAAGAGCTCCTTAGCAGGCCGGGGCCTTCTCGAACTTGGTTTCTGAGCAGTTTTCTGAGCATATCTGGATGAGGCTGAGGCTGATAGTGAAACCCGATCGCAACGTGACTGCCGGCTGTAGAGGTTCTGCCTGGCAGAATTGTTTCTTGGTCCTTGATATTAGTCATGGATGCATGCATCTACTAGTAAAAAGGACATCGCTACTAGTAACAAGGGCATTTATAAATAGCAAATAGCATACTTTGGGAAGAATCCACCTTCTAGACTTGTGTTGGGAGTACGGAGTTTGCATGGCGATGAACGTAGGTGCCAGCGTCTTAAAATGGCAAAGATGGTTGAAAATTGAAACAGTAATGTTGAGGACCTTTTTGCATTACGCTTCTTTCTGCACGGGGCCATTCACAGTTACATCAGCTCAGAACTGGAGCCCAGGTTCGAGGCACTAGTGTAAAGCGTTTACGGTAATGCACCTCAATGTGACTCTGAAACACATCCGCAGGGACCTCCCCCGCCCCCCTTCATGCGTGTATATGCGTGTGTCACAAGTACTTGAAAGGGAAAGTTCTGGCTGGAAGGTGGGAAAAAGGTGGACCAAACTGACGATGAACCCTTTCGATATCTTTCGATCCTCCTCTCCCTTCGCAAGAATACAGGCATAGCAAATGCTGATCATGCTGTTTCCACAGAATTTGAAGAAACTTCCCGGGCCGGGCGGGCGCAGGCGGCCATGGGGTGTCGTGACCCATAGCGCACATGGTCGTGTTTTACTACTCATTTCATCTCATTTCTATGTGTCAGCTGTCATATTTTGGACTCAAGAGCTAAGCTCAAGTGGCAGAAGGGACATATGAATGGACCGCCAATTGCTTTGAGAGATTTCCACCGATGTCCTCCGTGCCTTGCCAGGAGAGCTTTGCCGTGAGTCGACGGTGCTTTTGGACCACGAGGAGTTCAAGAGTGCGGCCCTCGTGGCAATGTATGCGTGGAGTGAGGCAGGGGGAAGGAAGCGGCCGAGTGGAAGGAAGAGAGCGCTGGAAAGAGACCGGGTCTTTGGAATTAAAAAATCATCCTTCATTTGCTTTGAGGATGATCGGGATTGATTTCGCAAGACTGGAGATCTTTTTTAGATTAGAAACTTGCCAGCCCAAAAATTGTTTGGCAGGGAACCAGAACCTGCCGGCGTTGCTTGTTGCTGCTGCGAGTGGGAGGACGAGGGCCTAGGGCAAGGACACCTTTGCAAAATAAAATCGGACATGAGAGGGATCATTCACTACATTCCCGAAATGTACTCCCGTTGTTTGAAAACTGAGATTGCGAGGTCATCATGGATGGCAGCCAGTGCTGTGAACTACTGCGACCGCCCTACTGTGGCCCGGCCGTTGATTTTGCGGATGCTTGAAACAGAGTCGACAGGTGTTGACTGAGTTGACCCTGTTCAACCATTCCAAACCCTCACCTTCACGGGTCTATCAAGGTCTATGAAGGTCCAAAACAGTTTCTACAGCCCGTGTTTGACCGGGGAATCGTTGGATTCTGACCACCCGTCTTCCGGTTTCGACCCCCAACTCGGTTCCCACTCGGAAGCGGAGAGACCGCTCAACCATGCTCAACCGTCTAAAGCACGGCAGCAGGTCTTCAGGCACAGTGGTCTTGGGCCACTCTGGCCGTCGCGATCCTCTTGGGAGGTGTCCAGACCGAGTGAGAAGCCGTTGTCGTGGTGGTGGTGTTTTTTTGCAGCGATTTGCGGCCACAGGGCTCGGAGGGCAAAAGCGTTTCGGAAAGCGACTGGTTCATAGTGGTTCCAAGAGCCACCGAGCATCACTTTCACCCAGGCAGCCTGAGATGCACAATATATATCATGTTTCTAAATGGTTGGAGTGGACTCCGATCTTTGGTTCAACCATATTATATGGTTGGGAGTGACAAGGTTACTAGGTGGTTGGAGTGAAACAGTCCTATTTTCTTTGCTCTCAGCGTGGATTTTACAGGCAGATAGATCTTTGTGCGCAACCTTTGTTGGGGAGTCATCAACGGGTACTTGGTATTCTTCTTCGTAAAGGTGCCTTTCATCGAGTTTCAACCTCAAGCTGCCATAAGTTGGAACTATCAAGACCCTGGCACCCCAAATGAGTAAATGTTTCTTTTTATTGCAAAATAATTCAGATTAGACCGTAACTCACCAAATGTTTACGAAGGCATTTGTGTGATGCATATTATGTGTGACAGTGGTGAAGGCTCGCGAAATCATCTGGTGTTGTGCGAAGCCTTGCGAAGCCACTCTTCCTATAATATGCCAACCCTGCAAACCCCTCAGCGTAGGCAACCTAGCAGTGTATAGTAGGCACTTTACCATACTTTATAACCTTTAAAGAACATTGCTGAAATGGATGGTTGAGTATTGTTAATCACAGTACTTTCAGAGTACTGGTAGCTGGCACAAACCCCAAGATGTCTTTTAGATGGTGGTCCAAAACGGTCTGTATTATCCCCCAAACCTGGGGATTGTGCCATCTACTCTCAATCCACTATGCAACTACCCAGTATGTTCAGGATGTTCCACCCAGTGAAACATGCCCTAGACTATACTTTGATATATCCGCATGTGACATGCAGGTCTCATTTCGTTCATTGATTGCCAGAAAACACGCTGGTCCGGTCATCACGCGGGTCCTTAAAGGCGGTTGAAGCGGGTGGAAGCGCTGAAATGCTTCGGTCAGACCGGAGGGAGGCGCTGCTTCAGTTCTTCGGTCGCAGCGCTGCGCGCGGCGGATTCAGCGGAGGCTCCTTCCTGGCTCTCATCAGCTCCCTCATCGCGGCTCTGACGGTACACAGCCTGAGATTCAAGCTGGCGACGTTTGGCTCCGACCTTGCAACGCACTTTGATAGTCAAAAAGAAGATTCAAGCTAAAAAGATCGCAATTCAGCACAAATGAGCTACTCGCACCAGAGAGGAAGGTCTCATGTTCAACCCGCCAGGTCTTAACCGCCGTCCGCCCTACCAGTGGAACGTGCCCGTGGTTCATTTCACCAACAGGGTTACCAAAGTCCCGTGATCCAAGTACAACAAACAACGTCACCTTTGATCCGGCTTTTAGTTCGTAAACGTCCAATATCGTCCAATCATCCTATAGAAAGTAGATGAACATAGAGTCACTCAAACAAGCTAAATCATCTTTGAATCATCTATGAATATCTTCGAGATGGAATGGTTTTTCATAGAAGTGATTGCTACAAAAGAAACAAAATCGGACTTCACGCCAATTGAAGGCACCCTATAGGTGTTTTTCTGCATCGGGATGCCTTTCGAACCATATCCACTTAGGCCAAAGCGCCGCGCCCCGCAGCACGTGCCGCTCCCCGCTCACCACGCCCGGCACGTGCGGTTCCAAAGCCGGAGCCACTAGGGCGAACGGCGGAGGAGATTTACCAGGAGAGTTTTGATGCTCCAAATTGGGTGAATGAAGGAGGCAATGGCCTATGAGCAACGGCCAATATGGAATGCGGTAGTGAAGATTAGTCTAGGGGCGTTCCTTTTTTATAGCCCAAGGTCAGATTTAGTTGGCGAAACGAGGTAGGAGCACCCCGAGAACGAGATGGGCATCAAATGCGCCATTTGTTTGAAATGGTTTGGTTAATGACATGTTTAGCTTGTGAAACGAGGTAGGAACACCTCTCGAGAACGAGATGGGTATCCACACATCAAAACGAGATACAGGAATGGAGAACGAGATCACACAACAAAAAAGATGCGGGATTGGAGAACGAGGTAAGGAAGGTCCATGTGATAGTTTAACGGATATAAATTCCATCGCTCATATGCCAATATGAGTATGTGAAGGGTTCTGAGAGATTGAAACTCTTAGCTTCAATGTTGAGCTTCGATCGCTTTTTTTTCCGCTTCCGGACGTCGGTTGCTGCAACGAATGGTCGCAGTAGTCCCAGTAGGCGCCTCCAGTAGCGTTTGAACGATTTGTTTCCGTCCCTGACACTCCAAGGGAGGTTAAGTGACCTTATAGCATCCGTCATCTGGGGTAGCTATGATACTACGGGATAGTTGAACGGGTCGGGTCCTTCAACCTTTTTAAAGGTACTTGGCGTATTTTAGATTGTTTTAGTATGTTTTAGTACTTCATCTTCATCGACAACTGCACCTCTTAGCAGCTTTTTCACCGCTTCGATGCCCCGTTTCGGGCCGACAGGAGCTGTTGCGCTCCTGGATGAAGGACGTCTGCCGAGTGACAACGGCGGTTTTCGGGGTCCAGGTGGATGGTCACATGGCGGAGGTTGGACATTCCAGAGTCTCTCAGTTTTCCTATTGTCGAACGAGTATGGAATGATATGGAAAGCATGGAAACCGCAAGGGATCCCAAGCTGGTGCCAGATTGGATTAGTAACAAGGGCATATAGTAACAAGAAGCCAGTAGGTTGGAGGCCATCGCTACTAGTAGCAAGAAGCTACTAGACTAGTAACAAGGGCATTATACTACGTACTTGATTGTTTCGAGACAGGATGATCCAACCTTCGCCCATCCGCCCCCACGTGAAAGTCATGAACTCGCACGAAGGACACACCCCAAAAACTCAATTCAACCGTGTTCACTAACGAAGAATTTCATTCGAAAGGTATTCTCTTGGAAGAACAATGGGAGGTTTCCCGGCCAGTCGTCCGAACCGAACGGTTCGATCCTGCCCCAGGACCATTCCCTTCGCGGCCTCTATGGCGCAGCGCACTTCGCGGAGAGCGCGGCGTCCCTCTTCGCACAGCTCTACAAACGCTTCGGCTTCCAAGCCGACAACGTGAGGCGCGCTGGCGACGGTGGACGAGTGCGGAGCGGAGCGAGCAGAACGGGGGGGGCTGCTCGGAGCGGGGCTTGTTGGACACAAAGAACCAGTCGTTTAGTCAAACCTGGCTGGTTTATTGGAACCGTAGATTGACTGTGTACTGGAAAAAGGCAGGATACGCTTCAAACTTCAAACACTAGCCAGCTGACATGCTAGGATGAAATTGTTCCTGCGTGGCAGTTTTCAATGCTTTTTTCACACAGGCTAATTTTGGGTAGTTGGTGATGCTGCATCAATTGCATCACCAACTTGTCTGGGGCTACTTCCAAGATTGTCAGCAATTTCATATTGAGAAAAGATGCTCTGCTTTCGCTTTCATTCTGCTTTCATCTGACAGATAACAAAATCTCTCCAGAAGCGTTTTGGATTGACCTGCAACTATCCGACTAGACATGGCCCGTCGCAAATTGGAGGACAGTGAACCGTCCAGGACAGTGAAGCGTCCAGGACAGTGAAACACGAAATCTCCTCTTTTGGTGCTTGCCGCACGTGTGACACGTGCGCTTGTTTTTTCATTTGTGCATCCACCGCCTTCCCTGAACTGTTCAGCGCTGTCAGAAGCAGTCAGCTTCGGGTGGGGGTCAGTTGCACAGTGCACTGAGATCGTGGTAGAAGGTTGGTGAGTCTTTAACTTTTTGAGGTCTGAGTCTGCAACGTGCCATGTGCTGCCCGCGCCCAACATGTGGCTTTCGGCACCCTTATTCTCATGGTGGTGTTTTCCATGTGCGTTGGTGTAAATCGATCTTCGTTCGTTTGGTTGGCGAAGGTTGGAGACTTAACGGATTGACTTCACCGACCGAAGCTGCCAAAAACAACGAAGTAGCTTGCGCGGTCCTTCGTTGCCGAAGAAGACGTCGGGCGACCGAAAGAGTGAGACGAAAAACGTCCAGAAGTCGGGATATGGGCTCATGCAATAAGAGTACGTATAGGTACTATACATGGGTTGCTTGGCTTAGTGGAGGCTCTGATATTTGTGATCTTTTTCTTAGCTGGTGGAGGCTCTGATTTTTTTCAGTATGAGCTGTTTGGTCTGTGGCACTCGCAAATCCACTCCTTTGGAATGCATTCAGTTCGGGTCGGGTCTTCGAAACATGTTGGCTCAACGTCCAGGTCAGTCGTTCGCCTTTTTCATGCGTCCAGGAATCAATTCGACCATTTGCTGTCCCTGTGGCGCTCGCACTGTGCCATGCTGGCGGATTTGGACTTGGAAGTGGAGGATGAGGAGGAATTGGAGGAAGCAGCGACTTGGACTCACAGAGGTTCCTGCGAAATCCATTCCGTAATGTAGACTCAATTGATTATATAATGAAAAAGCACTGGCCTGAAGAGGTTTTGCAATCCATGTCAGGGGGCATTTTAAAACTAAGAGTCTTCATATGGGTGTCTACATTACATGGGTAATATATCGGCTAGGGCTAGTGCTTGCTTTGGGGTGAACTATCCTATTCTATAGTTCTGCATCGTGACTTGCAGACCAAAGATTGTGTGTCATGTGTCCATGCTGTTTGTGGTGCCCCCTTTGCTTGGAGTTGGGGGAGGCACTCCTCCCCTTCACTTGGAACGCACCCACTTCGGCTGCTTTGTGGTTGTTCAGATACTGTGATCCCCTTAACGCTGGCCTTCAAGGTGGTCAATGAGAAGACCTTGCTGCATGAAGCCTTGAACTCGATGCATGTCCAAAGCTCAGAGAATTAGGTGTTTGACCCTATCCCCAAAATTGCATAGACGACGAAGGAATCTCAAATATCATGAACCACATACCTTGAAGATCTCTCCTGGAAATCTTACACAACTGGGATGCAAAGTGACCTCTCTCGTATATAACAATTACATACTATATATGATATAGTACAGTATTGTCATAGTATTGCAGTGCGTATTCATATTATGCAATTATATAGCGATTTCTTCAAGGATGTCCCGCAACATCTTACAAGATAGCCACATGTTGGCACTCTCCAACAAATGTTGGCTTTGATAGGCGGCACTTGGGAGACTGCTTCGAATCAGTCCTTGGTTCCTCCCTGACCCATCCGGGCAAGCCCTGCAAATTCCAACAGTGGGCCAATAGCAGTCTAATTATGTCTAATTCGACAGAACAGGAGCTTTAACGGTTTAAAGGGGCCTCAGAGGACAAACATGAGTGATGCTTTCTTCTTTTGAAGGATTCATGTTCATTCGGCATGTTTGGACCACCAAGCCGTCTTTTGATTCCATCCATGCTTCGTTTCAGCTCACCCAAACCAACGGAACGGCGCCCCTCACTCGCGCCCCCAAACCCTGCGAGGCAGAGCTTCTGGAGGGCTTTCGCGCGTGGCGGCACCGCTTGTCTGAGGAGTTGCAGGCGGCCCGTCTCCGCTCCGCTCCGCCGTCCGCCCCGTCCGCCGTACCGGCACCGTACCGCGCGGGGGGTGCCGTGGGGCGTTGTGCTGGAGCGGCCGGAGCGGCGATGGGTGCAGTCGAAAGGGAAGGTCGGAGGGATAAGATGTTCGAATCAATGTGTGATTTAAACAATTAGAAGATTGATCATGCTAGATCTATGTCCAATACATGTTTCAATCCTACCCTGCTCTCAGCGAGACAAAATATCGATCGCAGAGCACTACTCACGCCGAAGCCACGCGGAGCCCTCGCGCGGAGGTTTCGGCCACACGCTCTCGCTCGCTCCCAGGAGCCCTTGAGCCGCAGCAGCGTGACTCTGTGTCAGGTTCGCTGGGCCCAAGTTCCGCTGGGTGATTGGTTGGACTCTGAAAGTTCGCCCAAGCACTTGGCCGCCTCATTGGCCATGAAACACCTCGCTGAAGTGGCAAGGGATCCCAGACAGGGAAGGTGTGGCCGGGCCTTCCAGGGAGTTCCAGACGAGATACGTTTCAGTTCCGGCGTCAGGGTGGGCTTGGAGGCTCAACTTTTGTGCGAAGTGGCCTCCAAGCCCTCCAGTTGACGTCTCAAAAACACCGCTGCGGCCAGTCTTGACCCCAAAGAAGATGACCATCTTCCCATATCCCCCACATGTTGGAACTGTGGTTTGCGGGGTTGGGTTTGGATGATGATAAATATAATCAAGAACACACATATATATATATATTATATATGCCTCTTTGTAGCTCATACACTTGTTTCTCAGTTTCATATTTGGAGGGAGGTTTGGGGTAGCGAAACTTTTTTTCATATATATATATTACTATATAATAATGGTTAATATATGTTAATATTACTGTATGTCATCAACAATATAATCACAGTCACACATTATAGTTATATCCAGGGATCCAAATAGCTCCTTCAGAACCTACATAAAAATGTTGAACACATCACGTCACCGTCAAAAAGAGGGTGGCAGTGGATCCATAGGGAGATGTTGAAATATATAATATAGCTAGGGGCAAGGACGCTATTAGGTGGAGGCCATCGCAAGTAGGTTGGAGGCCATTACTACTAGGAACACGAAGCTATTAGGAACTTGTAGTGGCCTCCAACCTCCTTGCGACGGCCTCCACCGAGCATAGCGTCCTTGCCCCTAAGGTTTTCATCTCCGGTGTTGGAGACGGTGTCCAGAGAAGGTGGAGTTGGTATTCCCAGTCCATGGTCTTAAAGCCAAGAGTACATAACCCTGGAAGTCCAGTCGACTCTTTAAAAAGGGTTTGACTAGGTCACCTGAGTCTAGGAAGATCCTTTAATTCGGTGGTGTAAAAAATCGTCTTTGTTTTCTTCGATCACCCCATGCATGGGTTTCGGCGAAGTGGTGCTTGATGTGCTTGGGCTGAAGGAGTCTCTTTGGGGCCAAGGTCACGTATTTGCTGGTGTGGGGAGAGGCAGGCAATCTCCGCTTCATGTCGCTTGTCGGCATTCAGCAGGTTTAAACAGTCCACCAGCAGCAACTGAACGATTTCAAACCAGGCACGTGCCCGGGCACTCCTCAATCGCCCAGAAATCGCTGAACGTGCACAGAAACAAAAAGATGAAAGACCCAGGTCCCCTACAAGTCAATGACCTCATTTTACTGGAGTTGGTCATACGAAAGGAGGTAAAAGACAAGGTTTTACTGGATCTTTGGACTTCTAGGGGTCCGTTTCTGGACCTCACTTCACCCGGAACAGAACTTACCGCATTTTCAATCGTTTTATCTCGGAAGCGGTTCGGGGAGGAAGCCAGGAGTTGTTGCTAGTTTTTTCCAAAACCACGTGATTGCCCGACCAAGGGAGCTGTGGCAGTTTTTGCCCAAATGGGGACGGCAGGGTGGGGGACCGGCGACAGTTCAGATATGGAATCCCTGGAATCGACATGGCCGGACCTGAAAGAGCCGAGCCGCCGAGCCCAGGCCCGAGGTGATCTATTTCTTGACGGAGCTCACTCTGGGCGCCGACGGAGAGCCTTACCAGGCGGGTGCTGAAGAGTGGAGCAGGGAAGTGGAGGACCGGTAGAAACTCTACCAAGAGAGGTTAAGTGTCCTTATAGGACCCTACTGGGGTACCTATGGGACAGTCTATAGGGTTCTTCAACCTCTGTTGGTAGTTGGGTGACGTTTGGACCAGAGAACTGGACCAGAGGCTCGAAGAGACAGATGTCTTGCGCACTGACAGTCATGACCTTCGACCCTTGCCTCCGTTTCCTGGTGCCAAGAATCGTCGAACTGGACGGTGAAAGATGGAGAATCTACTCCAGTTCTCGACCATGGGGAGGGGGGAAGCTCGAATGCGCCAGGTCGAAGGACCGACCAGCTGTTGCTTTTTGTCCCGCCCGGGTGCCCAGTGTGGATGGTGTGGCTGGTTTAGTCGAAGAGGGGCGGCCTGGGGTGGATGGGGTATCGATGGGAGGGAACAACAAGTGAGGATGCGGATGTGCCATTGGAAGGGGGTAGCTCTATTTCAAGGGCTGTTGATTGGGGGGGGGCAGAACTGTAAAATTAAACGAAGCCTCGACGTGGATTTGGGGGCTCTTTTTTTTACATCAATATGAATGGATTTCTTGATTTTGTGCTCGGGAAGCAACTTCTTCATATTGCTGCCACACGGTGAATCGTGTGAGACGCAACCATACAGATCTCCCGAGTCACCAGCGCAGAGACCGACCATGACTGACCCTTTGCTGCAAAACACATCCGACCAGGTCCGTTCAAGGTCTAAGTGAATATGTTTGAGGAGATACAGATACCCGCTGGCCCTCAGTTCGACCTTTAAAAGAATAGGTGTCAACCTGGTTTTGTAGTGTAAAACCCTAGTCAAACAGCCTGGTTGTTTGGGATTCAGACCATTATCACAATGGTGGGCCTGCAATCCCAGGGGATCATAAATATGACTAATATCCCCTGTGAAATGTCCTCTACAAATTGGGTGAACCCCTGTATTGGAAACGACCATGTTGTAGAGACAATTTTGGTTTTCTATAGAATCACTGTCCTGGGTGTTCCTGATTTGTAGAGTGATCAGGGTTATTTTTGAGCATGTTAGCAAAACCAGGATTTGCAAGGAAGGGTCCATTTTATAGAAGCGACATGTTTTTGTATATCTTTCCGTTGACTCGAGCATGCGTTCCCACCCACCAGTTTGAAACGGGTAAGAACCCATTTTGTAGAGATGGCCGTTTAAGCATCTTTCTTGGAGGGGGTGATTTTATAGAGAGCGCACTTTTCTGATGAATTTCTGTAAGCCCACTCAGGCAAACCCCCAACCCAATATTATAGACAAGGTTAAGTTTCTATCTTGGGGGGCTTGATTTTATAGATGGATTAGTTGGTTTGGACCTGGGTGAGGCATTTGTAGATACAAAATGCCCCCCCGGGGTTGTCGTGTGAATTTTACAGCTAGGGGATTCATTAATTAGATATGGGATGATATTGGATTATTTTCTCGAACTAGGGGACCGTACATGTCAGCTCATTTTTTGCAGTGAATCTTGATTGAGGGTCCCCTATTTTTTGAGCACCTCTCAATAGAGTTTATCCACATCTAAAATCATTCGAGGTTGCCTCCCTATTACTTCCTTTTGCCTTCCAGGAATGATTCGGCCAAGCTACAAGGTGATCTTCGACGAGTGGTATCAGATCCTTGACGAGTCGTTCTTATTTTTGTTCGACGAGTGGATTAGTCCAGCCCCTTCGCCGCGTGGTTTAGGAAAGACTTGGCTACATGATGCTACTGGTACATGGCTATTTATCAACCTCATTGGTCCAGCAGATTTCACGCCGTCATGCAGGGGTGTTGGCTTTTTTTATGCACCTTGCCACCTTGCAGCGAGACAAACAGCGGAAAACACATGTAAATCACATGGATCAGCTTCTCTCGGTTGGGTTGCTTCATGTTCGTTGGGACCTCCGGTGGGTGTTTCTGAGCGAGCGATCTGAAGCCATTCACGAGCAGGGTGGTTTTTCTGCAGGGCACACACTCAGGGGCACCCTGGTAGCAAAGGCAGCCAGAGAGTCATGCCCTTGGCATTGCTACTATATCTAGGGAAACATCGAAACAGCGATGTTTCATCCAGTAGCTTCTCCAAATTCTTGGTGTTTTTGCTTCTCTAGCTAGTAGTAATGCCAGGGTCGCGCCCCCTATACTCGGTTCGCGTCCGACAGCTCCGAGCTCGGTCGAGGACTAGTCATGGGCCCCTTCGCTCGGTCATGAGATAGGTGTTTCCTGAGGCCTGCATGGATCCAACGAGCAAATGAAGGGCCTTGTTTTCCTCGCAAAAATGGGGTCCAAACTGAACTCAGAGAGACATTGCACATCTTGGGCTGGAAAGTCGCTTACTTCTGGATCTTATGGTTTGTTTTGTTCGGCCCTTTGTGGTTTGAAGGCCCCTCCGCCCCTCAGCCTTGCGCCCCCAGGAGCCTTGAGTTCAAACAAGTGAGCACTGAGGAGTTGGGAGCAGCTTTTGCATCGATTCGACTTAGGTTCAGAGGGTGTTGGGAAGATGATATTCCTCCACTTACCGTATATAATATAGTTAATATCAATGTATCCAACTGGAACTCCCTTGCATATTTACAGCGAATGACACCAAGGCTTGGGCACCGCCAGGGTCGCAAACAAACAAGTAACATGTCTGTTAAGCAGATACTTTTGTTTCCCAGCCTTTGTTACCAAAAGTCAAATCAAGCAGAGCCGTTGAACATTCTGCCGATGATGAATAGGCCTTTGAGCCTCGCATGTGACCATGTG